TTTTCAAGCACAACTGGAACCTTTGAAAAAATTGACCATATACTAGGCCGTAAAGCAAGGTTCAAGGGATACCAAAGAACCTATATCACATAGACCATATGCTCTGGCTGTAATGCAGTTGTTAGAAACTATTTATAAAAATATGACTCAAAGAAAACTCACAATTTAAAATATAAAAATATTTATGAAGAGCTCATGGTTTAAAGAAATCAAAGAAATTTTTCAATATTTACAACTGAATGGAAGTAAAATTATATGTCAAAACATATAAAATGTAGCTAATGTACTACTGAAGGGGAATTTATAGTTTTAAATAAATATGTTAGAAAAGAATAAGGTGTCCAAATGAATAAGCTAAGCTTTCAACTCAAGAAATTAGAAAGAGAGTCAATGAAAGAAAGAAACAATAAAGAGCGGAAAGCAATGAAACAGAAATCAAAGGTACATCTTCCCTACCATATCTTTGTTTTATATTTAATTCATTTCTGCTCTAGGCCTAGATGGTTTACTCCCCAAATAATAATAGAGTAATATAACCCTGATACCAAAGCAAGACAAGGACAAAATAAGAAAGGAAATTATAGGCCTATCTCACTCAAAAATATAGATGTAAATATTAGCAACCTTAATCCAGCCAACATAATAAGAGTACATATCATAACCAAATTGGCTTATCCCAGGAATACAAGGATGATTTAATGATAGAAAATTACTTATGGAAATTGATCATAACGCAACTATATGATGATGTTAATGCATGAAGAAAGATTATTTGCTAAAATTCAATATCCATTAGTGACCAAAAATAAACAACCTAATATAGAACGGAACATCTGTAATGTACTCGACCTCGGTTTCAAAATTAATGTAAATGGAGAAGAGTCAAAAATAGCCAAGACAGTTTTGAAGTGGGACAGTTTGGGGAGACATCCTGCCAAACTCAACAGATTCTATGTAAACCATGGTGTGGTGTTGGTGAATGGATATAAACCAAAGTGCATTAGAGCAATTCCACCCTTGAAAGAAAACTTGATACTTGACAGAGGTCGTATACTACTACCTAAATGGGTAAAAGACGACCCGTCCAAATGAGTACAGTAGTGCAACTGGGCTTCCACAGTGGAAAAATAAATTAATAAATCCCAACTGAGGGGCTTTCCTGGTGGTGCAGTGGTTATGAATCTGCCTGCCAATGCAGGGGACATGGGTTTGAGCCCTGATCCGGGAAGATCCCGCATGCCGCGGAGCAACTAAGCCCGTGTGCCACAACTACTGAAGCCTGCACGCCTAAAGCCTGTGCTCTGCAACAAGAGAAGCCACCGCAATGATAAGCCCTCGCACAACAACGAAGAGTAGTCCCCCCTCCCAGCAACTAGAGAAAGCCCGCATACAGCAACGAAGACCCAATGCAGCCAAAAAATAAATAAAAACAAAAAAATCCCAACTGAATATCATGTAAAAAATATCATTTCTGGGAGGTTTAAGGCCTACATTTAAAATGAAACTTTAAAAGGGCTTTTTGAAGAAAATACAAGATAATAGATTTATGATATTAAGGCAGAGATGGGTTCTTAAATAAACTTATACATTTAATGTTGATAAAATTAAAGACATATATCAGTACAACAAGGACATGATGAAAATAGGAAGCAATAAGCTGCAAGAAAGGAAGATGTTCATAATGCGTATAACCGAAGGATTAATATTCAGAGTATAAGGATGAGAGCTTAATAGAAAAAAATGGGCAAAAATATGAGTGAGCAATTTATACAGTGACCTGCCATTATATTAAAGCTTTTCAATATAAATTATAATCAGGGAAATATGAAGTAAAACAACAAAATATAATTTCATACCCACTAATTTTTTTTAATTGAAATCTTAACAAAACCAAGGGTTAGTAAGTTGTAGAACAATGGGAACTCTCATTCACTGCAAATGAAAGTATTTACTGATTTAGACAGAAAATGGCAACATTTATTAAAGTGGAAGGTATGTAAGTCCATGACCCAGCAAATTATTCCTAGATATATATCATAAAGAAACTGTCACACATGTCTAGGAGAAATGTGCAAGAATGTTCACTGCAATCTTGTAACAATGAAATATCAGAAGCAACCTAACTGTCCAGCAACAAAATAAGAGGTAGATATATTGTGCATTTACCTATAATGGAATGCCATATAACAGTTAAAATGAATAAATCATCAAATTAATAAGTGTCAAAAACATAATATTGCAGAGAAAAGCCAACTGAAGAGTGACACATCATGATCGCACTGGCATGAAATTTCAAAGTATACACATATATTGTTCATGAATCCATATGTATGAAGCAAAACAGAAAATCATGCACGGAAATGATGTCAAATTTAGGATACTGATTGGTGGAGGGGAGGAAAATGGGATCTGAGAGTGATAAAAAGGGAGCTTTAGTTTTATCTATAATGTCTTGATTTTCTTTTAAAAAGATTTGATAAATATGGCAAGATGTAGTTTGTGGGCACATGGATGACATATTCTTCTCTGTATTTTTTCTGCTTGCTTAAAGTATACTGTAATTTTTAAAAAGGAAGATCATAATACTCTCTCCAATACAAAAGTATGGCAGTCATTTGCACTGGAGGGAGAGAAGGCAGGATAAGATGAGAAAGTCCCCATGCAAGTCTCCAGCAAGTCTGGCGCTTACGTGCTAACATGTAACACCCTTTCTGTGCTTGGAAAAGCGGAGGCTTCCCCGTTAGGACTGAGACAAATAGACCATGGATCCCAATGCTAGGAGAGGAGAGAGAGAAATTACCATGACTTTTTCCTTCCCCTTTGTTCCTGCCTTGTTGGTCCCAATCTCTTTCCTTGCATCTCTTCTTCTCTAGAGTGGCATGGAAAGCCACAACCCTGTAACTTTAAGGGAGGATTATTAGCTAATCATACTGCTTTGTCTCTGCCATCCCCACCAGGAGACTTCCTCCAAGCTTTGGAGGACCTCTGTTTATTAGAGGAAAACAAAATTCCAGGGTATATACAATCACATACCAGAACTTTCCCCTAGTTTGAGGCATTGGACTGTTAATAGAAATTCAAGCATGTATGAAAGTTCTACTGAAGCTATTTGGCCAACAAATTATTGAGTCTTAAATAAAGGAGAATTGTACTGAGTGAAGTAAGTCAGAAAGAGAAAAACAAATACCGTATGCTAACACATATATATGGAATCTAAAAAAAAAAGTGTTCATGAAGAACCTAGGGGCAGGACGGGGATAAAGACGCAGACCTACTAGAGAATGGACTTGAGGGCATGGGGTTGGAGGGGAAGGGTAAGCTGGGACAAAGTGAGAGAGTGGTATGGACATATATACACTACTAAACGTAAAACCGATAGCTGGTGGGAAGTAGCCGCATAGCACAGGGAGATCAGCTAGGTGCTTTGTGACCACCTAGAGGGGTGGGATAGGGAGGGTGGGAGGGAGATGCAAAAGGGAGGAAATATGGGGATATATGTATATGTATAGCTGATTCACTTTGTTATAAAGCAGAAACTAACACAACATTGTAAAGCAATTATACACCAATAAAGTTGTTAAAAAAAAGAATTGTATTAATGTTTATCAACTTGTTAATACCATAGGTATTTAAATTATATTTAATAAAATTGTATTTAACTCATATCTTATATTCTTGGATATATCTATATTTTCATTACTATTTCTAATATAGTGATAGTTTCTAATAATAAATTGTATTATTGGATTGCTCACTATGAACAGAATTCTCACTGTGTAAATACAGAATGCTGCTTATGATGGGTTCAGAAATTCTACTTAACTGGATGTAAAAGAAAATTAAAATTTTAAGTATTGAATTTTCCAAAGCAAGATATATGTATAATTTAAGAATTATTTTACTTTTAATTGTGTTTTAATATGGTTAAAATTCAAACAATCCAAATGGGTATAAAATGAAAGGTAATACTCTTTCCCATATATTGTCCACCAGTCCCCCTCCCCACGGCAGCCACTGTTACAAATATTCTATGTGTTTCTCTAAGGTCCTTTACAAATAGACAAACATGCGTCAAAAAGAACTTTTTAAAAAGTCCATTCCATAGGAATGGTATTTCAAAGTGTTTGTATTCTTAACTCGACTTAACACATTCAATGCTCTTCTTTTGAGGCCAAATAGTGCAGAATCTTCAGACTTGAGGTCAGACCCAATCACAAGAGTGAGATTTCAAAGGAGCCACGATAAAGGTGACACAATAAATAATTGTCCATTAAACATTTTATAGGAAAGTCAGGAGAGAATAGAGTGTCCATGCAGTAAGTTCCAAGACTTGAGTCTGCTACCAATTAGACAGAAACAATTAAGTGACATAACTAGCTTGTGTTATGATGTATCATGTAAGGATATCAAAATATTTAGGTAGTTGTTTGGTCCACAATTGAATGGAATCTTAAAAAGAACCGATTATACAAAAGCATATCTAAATTGTTGCTTTCTTAATCATCCTAAAGTTTAGCGAGATCTGAAATACTGCCAGAGGCTGCCCAATTAATGTGTTTTGCCACCTTTGCTAAAATGTTATCAGTAATAAGTAGTCTGAGACAAAATTCTCAAGAAAGAACACATGATGTCAAAGAGTATAGTTCATATTAGCTTGTTACTTTTTTTTTTTTTTTTTTTTGCGGTACGCGGGCCTCTCACTGTTGTGGCCTCTCCCGTTGCGGAGCACAGGCTCCGGACGCGCAGGCTCAGTGGCCATGGCTCACAGGCCCAGCCGCTCAGCGGCATATGGGATCTTCCCGGACCGGGGCACGAACCCGTGTCCCCTGCATCGGCAGGCGGACTCTCAACCACTGCGCCACCAGGGAAGCCCTAGCTTGTTACTTTTTAACCCAAAACGTATTTGGTATTTCCCATGGATAAAAAGGATTTCTCATGTTTATTTTCCAAATCTGCATTTGGGATCAGTTTGTAAGAAAAATGTCACCTTTGTCTTTTAGGCTCTTCTAACATATAGGAGTGACCCAACCATGAGAAAAATGTTGAATCATCTGTATTTCTATATCATGCCTGTGTTTAACGTTGATGGATACCATTTTAGCTGGACCAATGTAAGTCACTTTGCCTATCCAACTGAAAAAATCATGGAAAACAGTCCTGAAACAGGAAAGAACCTTGGTGGGCAGCTAGCCTAGTGCTTCCAGAGCTACAAAGGAGACTTTCACTCCCTTCCCCAGCATAGCAGCAACCTTTTGATTTCCTTTATATGTTTGGCTTTGTCTAAGATTTCATGTAAATAAAGATTTCTCCTTCCAAATAAATTGTGAAAAAAATCACTAGTCCAGTCCAGCTCACTCAATTTTGCCTGTGAAGAAATAAGGGCAAGAGAAGGTAAGAGAAAAGTTTGTGGCAGAAATTGGACCATGAACCTGAGTCTCCGAAGCTAATCCTGTCCTCTTCCCACTCCCTGGACTTTATTCCCAAGGGAACTCTCCCTCCCCCTCCGTGCTGTGATTCATTCACTGACTGAGCTACTAAAACGCATGGGAATAACCTCTTAAGTGTTTTTTCTGCACCTCTTTTTTTCATTACATCTAGGATCGATTTTGGAGAAAAACAAGGTCAAGGAACTCAAGGTTTCGCTGCCGTGGAGTGGATGCCAATCGAAACTGGAGGGTGAAATGGTGCGGTAAGTTGGGGATTAATAGGGATTCAGATCCAAAGGTATTCATATCTTTCACTCTCAAAAATGATGAGCCCACTGGGACTCCAACGTAAGACTGATGTCTTTGTGTATGTGAAAACCTCCTACGTTGTACATTGTAGCTATAATTTGCAAAAGAAAATGAAAGCATTTTTATAAAAGTATGAAAGAATCAAGGATTTAAATCTGTCAACCCAATCCTGAAAATTTAAACACAGATGTAAAAGCAGAAAACTAAGGAATATTTGTCATTCAGAAACTAAAACATTTATGTGGTATAAATCCAGTGGAATGTATTCATCCTTTCACTGAGGGTAACACTGATCCCGCCTTCATCTAAGATGATCAGAGCTGCCAAATCCTTGTCTAGAACCTACCAACCTGCCAATCATACACTGACTGACCATTCACATGGCGAATGTATTTCCACTACATTCCGTGTTTCATAATAGTTACCTTTCAAGTAAGGAGAGGATGTCATTTTAAGGAAGGAAACTCTTGTGGCAAAATAAAGAAGCAGGTAGTAGCAAAAGAGAGAGAAACAGAAAATTAGCCATAGCTACATAGAAGATGGGTAGTATACCTCTCCCCATCTTGGGTTTTCGGCTGGGGCTCTTAAACAGAAAGACAGGTTAACAAGAGAAAAATGGTTTATGAATGTGCACTGCACATGTCACATGGAAGAAACCTCATGAAAAGTAACTCAAAGTGGCAACTTAGAACACCAGCTTATATAGTGTCTTCAACAAAGAGCAATAAACTTGTAGAGAAATGATAGTACAAAGGAATACAGTTTTAGGCTTCCAAAGGCAGCCAACTGTGGGAAGGTAAATATATGAGAGCTAACTAATGCAGGAAGGTTTGTTTGCTGATTCCTGTGGTGCTGTCTCTGGGTTAAGAGTCTGTCTCCAGTAGGAGAATTTATGTCCTGTCTTTAGGCAGAAAAGGCGAGGGTGGAGAGAGCTTTTCCTGCATTTCCTGCTGCTTAATTGCCTTGGGCTCGAAATAATTTTTATGTCAAAGAGGCATATTTGGGGGTGACATATTCTGGTTTCCTTCGCTAGTTATTGTACTTGGCAACAGCGGGGAGGGAAAGGAGAAGTGTTACCCACGTGCAGTTCTAAGGAGCTGCCCTTTCTCAGTGTCCTTCCTTAGCGCCCTCAAAGTATAACCGTTGTGTAACAGAAAGTCTTCTGTGAGTCTCTTAGAAATGAAGCCCAAGACAAAAGCCCTCCTTCTATGAGGCTTTGGTTCTGTACTCGATGCCGCTCTTCCCATCCCCACCAGCATCAGGTGGAATACCTGCGTGTGGCTGAGACTTCTTGCAGAGAACCCTCCAGGCAACCTCTTGAATCAGTTAGAATTCATAAATCAGAATATGGTAGAGCAGAAACAATATGGTTCTAGAATATGACAGATACATGTTTTCATTCTACCATTATTAGCTCAATGATTTGGAAGATTTTCTTCAATCTACCAAATTAATAATAATACTCAGCTCATAGGGTTCTTAAGGAAATTAAAGGACTTTACATCTGTTTAATGGCTGATTCAGTCCTAGCTCCAAAAAGGGGTCTACATCTCAGTGACCCAACCCTTCTCCCCCACCCTCCAGAACAGTCAATTCACCTCTGAGCCTCAGGTCGGTTGTTTGTGAAGCTACCTCCTTCCTTCAGGAGAGGGTTGTGATGATGAGACATGAGGTAAGCTTTAAGGTGTTTGCACTTATGAGAGAAGGAAAAGCATTGCATAAATACTATAAAGGGGTATTATTGATGGCTGTTTAGATTGAGAAATTTTTTTCTTCAGCCTGGACTGAGACAGCAAACTTGTTCAAATTAACTGCCTGATACCACTAACTTTTTAAAAATTCTCTTTTGTCCATCTCTGAGATGGGGCCATTTTGCATGCTCATAATGATGTGTCCCGTTTCACTAGCTGGCAGGTACCCACATCCATAGGTGTGTCACGGGCGTGATACCCACAATCACCTGAGTACCAGGAATGGTAACTGAGCTGAGTCATACTAGCAGGCCAGCCAGCTCTGCCGGTGTAAAGCTACACTCTTGTTTATATACGGTTACACAGTAGTGGCTTGCTTCCCTCTGTTCTTCCTTTCCCCAGCCTGTTTCCTTCATACATATACCTTCTTTGATTTCTTAGTTCCAAACTGTGGTCCCAACTGGAATTCCTTTGATTCTCCCCATTTATGAATCATCCTGATTCTTCCTGTGAGTCAGCACTCAAGATGAACAGGGGATTTTTGTCAAATGTCAGTTGCAAAAATGACCTTGACAGACCGTTGTAAATGATGTAGGAATGCAGGCTGCCTGGCTAGGCCCATCTCCTTCCCCACAAGGTCTCCTAAACAGATTCAGCTGACCTGACAGGCAGGCAGCTGTGACTCCCTCCCTCACAGCATCAAATCCATCTCCCCACAGCTATTTGCCTGGTTAAGGGGACAGAACCTCACTGAGGGAACCACTCTCAGATCAAGGGTACTGAAGTAAATGAAATCCCTAAGTGAACCTCCAAACATCCATAATATAATTGATCTAGAAATGCCCAGGACCACTGAAAACACTATAGAGTCAACACTGAACTGACAAAAACAAATGTTTCTTTCTCTGAAATTGGTGAGTCTCAGACTTAAAGAGGAGATCATGAAACTGCTTTTAATCGTGAAATCGTCTGAGGACTCGCATATGACAGCGTGAAGATTTAGTGCATTCAATGTGGAGTAGGCAGACAGCTTAGAGCACACACATGGAAACAGGAACATTTTTCCAATACTTCAGCGCTCCCCCTGGGAGCTTTCAGGCCATGAAATACATATAAGTGCTCTGAAAGCCCAGCAGAGGGACTCAACAAGTCAGAGTAGTGGTGGGAACCAAGAATAGATAGATAAATGTCATTCATTTACCAAAGTTAATTGAGCACATACTCTCTGCTAGACCCTGTATTGCTGTTTCTTCCTTCCTCTGTGCACTCTTTTTAGAGGGCACTGTGAGCAAAGATTTTTCCAAATTGGAATAAATCAAAGAGAAAAGCAAAGGGTTTGGATGACATTCGTACTAAGCTTCAACCTGTGAATAAGTCAAGTGTTGCCTGAATGTAAATTACTATTAGGACAACCTACACCTGCGAGAACATGTTTGCAAATCATATATTCTGATAAGGGACTCAGAATATCAAAAGAACTCTTACAACACCACAATAAAAAGGCAACCCAATTTTAAATGCACACATGATTTGAAAAGACATTTCTCCAAAGAAGATATACAAATGGGAATAAGCACATAAAAAGTCGCTCAACATCATTAGCCATCAGGAAAATGCACATCAAGAAACCACTTCACACCCACTAAGTGGCTATAATCAAAAAGACAGACGACAGCAAGTGTTAGTGAGGGTGTGGGAAAAATTGGAACACTCATACTTGCTGCCGGGAATGTAAAATGATGTGACCACTTCGGAAAAATGTTTAATAGTTCCTCAAAAGTTAAACAAAGAGTTACCACGTGACCTAGCAATTCTATTCCTAGGCATAAACCCACAAGAAATGAAAACGTGTCCATACAATACTTGTACATGGACGTTTATAGCAGCATTACTAATAGCCAAAAAGTATAAAAAACCCAAATGGCTATCGACTGATGAACAGATAAATGAAATATGGTATATCCATACAATAGAATATTATTTGGTCACAGAAAAAGAATTAAGTACTGATATATGCTGCAACATGGATGAACCTTGAAAATACGCTAAGTGAAATAAGTCAGTCACAAAATAACAAATATTGTATGATTCTATTTATATAAAATGTCCAGAATAGGCAAATCCAGAGACAGAGTAGATGAGTGGTTGCCAAGGGCAAGGGAGACGGAGTAGTGAATGCTAATGGGTAAGGGGGTTTCTCTGGGGAGTGGTGAAAATGTTTTTTAATTAGATAGTGGTGATGATCGTGAATATACTAAAATTCACTTAATTGTACACTTCAAAAGAGTGAATTTTATGGGAGGTAATTATAACTCAATAAAACTGTTATAAAGAATTTTAATTACCATTTAGGACCAAATTAGGCATTTACTAAAATACAACTACTCTTTTTAGAACACTCAATTACCTAATATTGTAAATTACATGTAATATGGAGAAAACCATATTTTTGGGGAGCCCAATCACATATGCCCCTCTCCACATATGCCTTCTCCTCTCAGTACCCCCTCACTCTATCAAAATAAGAGGGGTCTGTTTCGGTTGGGCAAATATTTTGCTAGATCACCTGAGATGAAAAGGGAAACTACTACCTAGTGATTGTTTCCAGCCAATGCCTGTGAAAGTACAAGAGAAGTTCACGGCCTGCTTTCCAGTGAAAAAGGAAAGTTCCTCCAGAGGAGAGGAGAGTTCCTCCAGCTGAAGGGCTTTAGTTTTTAGAGAGCTATTCTAGCTAAGAACCTGGGCTGATTTGCTATAAAGATATAGGGAATTTCAGAGAACTGGGGGCAAGGAGAGGGAAAGAAAACAGAGGTGATGTTGCTAGGATATCTAGAAAGGGATTTGGAATTCCAGGATGTCTAGTGAGGATTTTAATTAACTTTTGCTGTGAAATATGTAAATTCTCTTCAGTATGTATTCCATAACCAGCACCACTGTTCATATTCGGTACAAGCTACTTTACTTACTAAGGCTTTGTGGAATTGGGTCTGCTATTTGGGGCTATGAGGAAGTGCTGAGTCTGGCCTCCCGGTAAGCTCAGGGAGAGACCTGTTCCACATCGAATTTCCAGAGGCGTGGAACTCACAACAGGAGTGCAAGTGAATTTACATCATCAGAGATTCACCGACAAGAGTTGGATAACTTTGGGCTCAGAGTGATGAATTAAACATCAACTACATGGTCAAACTAGACCCTTAAGATCCCCGTCACCTCTGCTAAGGGTGATTCTAACATGTTACACGTAAACCCAGTTTTAAATTAAA